CAATATCGGAAATGACGGTTTGAATGTATCATAATCGGTAAACATTTACTGGGTACCTAAGAAAGTGAAGGTTTTTATCGTGGTATCTGAATAACTTAAAAACAAGTTTTCTTTGACTGTAATTTGTCTGAAAGTTGCGTATGATGGCATGATAACGAGCTGGTGGTATTCTACCTGTATTTTACATTCAAATAAACTCAGACATGTTTTTACGCACCCCGGCCAGGGTCACGCGCAGCTATTCTAATTGGAACAAGATTTCATCGGGTCTCACTCAAGTCTAACAGACTTAAGTACGTTCGTTAGTTCCCGTTTGTATCAATTATCTTGCGACACCGACTCGCGGGATACTAAAACAATAGGCCTAATTTATCTGCAAATAATTCAGCATATGTGATGGATTTCTTTGTTTCTTTTTGGATATTCGCATAGATATCCTCAATTAGTCACCACTAATTTTTAAGCCGTTCGAATCATGAAATTTGATGTATTTTATTTACTTACTTTTAGTTTTGGCGTACCGCATGTGATGATCCCGCAGATTCCTTGTCTGACACAGTAACCACAGATCCACGTTCGGCTCCAGAAGTGTAATTGACAAGTTGGGCAAAATTGACTAATGGTTTAAATTTGAGAAATTAACAGAATTTTTTTTTCAACTTTATTTTATTCTAACTTCTTGAGTCAAGATTCATTTGAACTTCCAGTTAACGAATCTTTAAGAAATTGTAACTTTTATTTTGTTGTTGTTGTTTAAAGGCCGTACCCAGTTCATGAACCAGCTTTCAAGAAAAATGTGTCGGCTGAGTAAAACACACGGTGTCCCTCAACTTCCTTACACAAAGTCGTATAATAATGTTAATACAGCTGTTTGCAACACAACAATGTTCGCTTTAACAACATAAACAAGTGTAATAATACATTACTGGAGTGAAAAGTCACACAAATATCGAGAGCAAATAAAAAAAAAACAACAACTAATATCACAAAATATTAATCATGGTAAACACGTTTTAAAGTTTACAGCATTTCGGGTCGGTACCCGCCTGTACTCGGGTGATTTTAAACGTTGTTTCGTTTATTATTATTTATCTAGGGTTTAACAAACCCCCAATAATTAAACATAGTGAATGCTAGTGTTAACGACTTCATGGGGACCATGTCCCCTGCATGTCGGGGGTGGGAGGGTGTTTTCTTTTTTTTTTGCCTCCAATACCGTAAGCATATATTTCAACTTTAGTTGAAAATTTGTCATTGTATCAAACAAAAATCATAATTATATTTTCAAAACATAGATACCTCATTTTATATTTATCGTCATCGATGCTAAATTGTAAGTTTTTCTTATGTTTTTAGCGCAAACTCAAATAGCATTATGCAAAATACGACCAAATTTAAGTATTGACAATGTCTTTACTTTTATTAATATTTCATTAAACTAAAAATTTCCAGTTATGAAAATTAAATTATAATGCACAATTGTTTGGTTTGTATTAAAAACATCTTTAATAGGGTATAATATGCATAAAAAAATGTAATATGTGTATAATTATAAGTGAACCGTTGTTTTTAAATACATAAAAAAAATCACCTATCTTTTTTAAATCGTAACAAGAATTCCAATATTTTATTTCTTTCCCTGCCCTTGCGGTTGAAAAAAGATTTAATAACAGTTTTGTACAAGTCACAAAATATGACGAAAGCGACCGACAAAAAGGTACTTAAGTAGATGTGTTTTAACTTGTGCGGGCCGATACTTATGTTATAATTTAAAAACCAACAATATTAGTCAGTAAAAGTTGTAGGTTTTTAATTTTTACTGAAAAAGTTTGCATTAATTTCAACGAACAATTCTTTAGAAATGTACGCTAAGGACAGAGAATAAATTGAATTAAGTTTTCTGAAATATATATTTCGATTTGTTTCTTTCCTTTCTTTTGTAGTAACTAAAATATAATCTAAAAGATTTAAATAATTTATACAAAGTAAAATTATAGAAGTTTACCATTCACAATGTTCATGTTGTTTTTGATTGTTTAATTTATACATACAAAATGGACAAGGTGCAGACGAACAGCTTGAACACACGGTAGATGACGCAACACCTTACATATATTGGCCTCCATGTATTCCTGACCACGTATTCACTCCGTGTACACAATAATTAACTCACGCTTCAGCGGAAAGTTTAAATAAAAATACACTATGGAAAACTGTCCCACATCTTACGGATTACAAAAATATGTAATGGTACAGGTCGTATTTTCGGACTTTCTTCATCGTATTTTTTAATAAAAAAGAAAATAAGGCAGAAGAACTTAGCATGGATAGTGTCTCCATGCGTGCGATCATTTGGTCATATAATTTGATGACGTAACTATTGAATTATGTGTAAAATCCGTAATTCAATGTTTTAACTATTTAAATAACTGAAATATGTCTATAACCGAACAATACACGCCCACACATACGTGTTCTCTTGTCAGCTGTAAAATGGAAATGGTAAAACGTTAGTTTCAAATAGAAAGTCCACTCCTAGCGAGTCACATTATTAAATATGTCGAGTGCAATCTGCCATCTTAAAAAAAAAATCCATATTAATACTTCCTTGTTTTGTTCAAAATGTTTAGTCTCTATTTCTCATGCATGAAAACATTCTTACAGGAAATGCTGTATAGAAACGATGGTATAATAATAACAATAACATACTATATATTTATGGTGAAAGGGTTCATCAAGAATGGGCTCCCTCCTCAATGATAATTCACCTTATTTCTTTCTTCTATGTACATACTTTTCCATTTTGTTCATTTATTCTAAATTTATACAGTATTATCTTCAGTACTGAACCTACTAAACATATGTTTTAATATTTAATGTAAAACAATATTGAAAAATAATTAACATACATTACATGCAATATCATATCTTAAATGCTATAACTTAAGTCTCTTGGGAATGATGTATTGCACAATACTGGAAGGAGAGAGGAAACTATAAACTTAACAAGAAAAGTTCCTTCCAGTGCAAATATATGCCTGACTGTATGGTTCCATTAATCTCTGGAATGCAGAGATCTATGTAACCATGCAACCTATACCATTTCTTTTTGTTGGTTCTATCAAAAACTCATCTGGATTAATTGCATCACTCCTCAGCAATGTTAACACTGCACATGATACTGGAGGAAGGGTACAATCCTTCCACCAGAATACAAGCTTAATAATGTACAGGCCTAACTGGGAGGATACAACTCTTCTACCAGAATATAAGCGTAATGATATATAGGCCTAACTGGGAGGATACAACTCTTCCACCAGAAATAAACTTAATGATATATATGCCTAACTGAAAGGATACAACTCTTCCACCAGAATATAAACTTAATGATATACAGGCCTAACTGAAAGGATATAGCTCTTCCACCAGAATATAAACTTAATGATATATAGGCCTAACTGAAAGGATACAACTCTTCCACCAGAATATAAACTTAATGATATATAGGCCTAACTGGGAGGATACAACTCTTCTACCAGAATATAAACTTAATGATATATAGGCCTAACTGGGAGGATACAACTCTTCTACCAGAATATAAGCTTAACAATATATAGGCCTAATTGGAATAATACATGTAATTTCTTGACATGGTAATTAATAAAATAAACAATTATTGTTTAAAACAAATACTAAAGGATACACTGTTTCAATATTCATCAATGATATATAATAAATGTTATTTTAGTTTCCCAAACTCAGTAACCAAGCTCTAAAAGCAGGATGTATGGTGGTTCTGACTCCTTGTATCCCTCCTTCTTGTGTACTTATTTATAGATGTATTATTTATCAAACAATCAGGTCAGTAAACAAGCTAACCATTCACAAAATCAAAATTTCAGGACATAGAGAGGTTCATTGCACTACTTAACAATTAACACACAGATTCAAATGCAACTATGTTATCAGTGACCGTTTCTTTATTTAGCAGTAACCTTTTTATTCAATTAAACCATGTTACAGTTGAAAGTAAATTCCTATATTACTTGAAAAACACTGGAACATCAAATTACAGATTCCATAAGTATTTGATATACATATTATTATTAAAAAATACCCTCAAATATACCAACTTCACACTCTACAGAAATATTCTGAAATACTTAATTAGATTAAAAAAAAAATCACAAATTAGAACCTTTATCCACCCAAGCACAACAAACAGTTTCTGAGAATGTATCAGTTTGAGCACATGAAAGAATTCCTGAAAATATTTTAAGCTATAGTTTTGAAAAATGATGTTACAAGTAAGAGCATCATGATAGTTTCTACACATAATCTTAACAATTTCACATCAATATCCTATCAAACATTATTTACTAAACGTAAAAAAAAAAATCTACTTATCAACTGAACACCAGTAACCAGGTGGAACTAGTTTATGAATAGTAGCCTAGTTACTTTTTTCAATTCCCGTATACACGAACCTTTTGTGACATAGGTTAAGAGTATTGTAATAAATCGAACATTTTGTGACATAGGTTAAGAGTATTGTAATAAATCGTATCTCACCATTAACATACAATGTCAGAAAATATTCAACCATCAGTCTTAGTGAAATCATAAACACTGACAGGTTCAACATCATAGTTTAGATTTGCTTAACATTTTGTTAAAATATTTAGTGAAGCATACCATACATCGTCCAAACTTTCAGACAAGAATTATATTATCGTATTTGAATGGAAGGCCGAACCAAGTCTTTATGCCACTGTCCCTAAGTTTCAACTGCTGACAATAGTAAAGACAACCACCCTTATACTTTTAGTAAAGGAATGATTATCATTTTTATGCTGCCATATTTTGTGGTATTGTATGAATTCAAACCCTTCATGACAGCTGCAAAATTCAGAGTTCTATCACAGAGTCAATACACATGTATATATTCTTGTATCTACTCGTATCATACAAATATCTGCAAGTAAGTTTTTTTTACCCACCTCTCTTCAACTAGAGTCCTTGAAGAAATGTGCGACATCCACCTGTCTCTATTCTTCTTGCGCTGAAGGTAAGGAAAGAAAACTCACTATAATAGTCTTCAAACCATACTTTCTTGCAATGATGATGAAGAAAATTTTCTCTAAACTTACAATCCTAACTGAAGGAGGATCAGAAGATGATGCATATTGAATTCTGAGATGAAGAGCTTGTCCTCTATTAATGCTTTATTGCTATAACGTTACCCATCAAAATTCTACATTAGCTATGATACCTTAATCTTATAACAAAATAACGTGATGAAATAACTAATCACCAAGA